GTAGCACTGCATGAGATTCTGAGAGTGAAGAAGATGATTATATATCTCTTATTAAGCTTCTTTAATAAGAATAGCATGTTATTCAGCTGCAGCATTGTCAACTTCTAAGTGAGAAAAGTCAGAAATAGTGAGAGATGCTGAGTGATAGCTGAGATTCATGAAAAATAAGATAATACTGTGAGTGAAGTAAATGAAGTTACTGTAGATAAATTCAGCTAGAATAAACAAGTCTACTCAGTCATTCTGTAGATATGTACTGTATAAGTGTATATATATCTCAAGTTGACAGTTTTGCTGCTCTGTCTGATCATCTGTTTATATATAATAGATAGTGAAGAGATGATGATCTGTGACTAGAAGACTTGAAAGAGAATATCAGAATTCTGAGATAAAGAGATGATTATGATCTGAAATTATAACAGCAGGCATTTTATAAAGATAAATGATATTGTTAGTAAAAAGCTGAGCAAACATCTCTGAGAGCAGGTCAGATGTGATGAAGATATAGTAAGATTATTTAAATCTCTTACAGATTATTATAAGAACAGTATTAAAGATAACACTTATCACAGAGCAAGTTAATTTAAGAAGATCTACTATGAAGTCAAGAGTGACTGTGTGTCAGTTTGTGTCAGAGACAGGTATGAGCATGAGCTCTCTATATATATGATGAGTAATGAGCTTGAATCAGCAGCATGCTTCACAGCTGCAGATGTAGTTATCAATGTTATACTGTATAATTAATTAATAGAATTATCAGCTTATTAGAAAGTAGATGCAGTAGAAGCTGAAGTGCTCAGCTGTAGAAGAGTTATAAAAGTTTTAAAGAATTAGTATATAGATAGAAGTGTGATCTGAGACAAAGATTCAGTCTTTGTAAAATAGCAGATCATCTTCTATAACTCAGTTCTTCAGATTATTGTAATCTATTGAGAGTATAAGAGATTTCAGAGTTTCTGAGAGATTCTCACAGATGACTTGCAGCAGCAAACTCTCTTTGTGTAGAGATAGAGAGATAAGTACAGCTGCTTGCTGATGAAGATTGAGAATGAGAGCCTGTGCTACAGTAAGAGCAGTAAGGTGAGCATTGCAGAGATAATTACAGAATGTGTTAAAAAATCAGTAAAAGATATTAATAAGCTCTGTGAGATTATCTGAATATAGTCTGTAGTTGAGTCAACAGCTCAGAGTGTTAACAGAGTTCTTACAGCTCTTCTTGTATTTTATAGTGATATTGAGCTCACTGAGGTGTTGAGCTTATCTGATCTGTTAACAGCTGAGAACTTTAGTTGAGAGAAAGAAAAGAAGATTATTATAATTACTATAGATGATTATACTGTATCTGTTACTGTAAATAAAGTGACTTCAGTACTTTGTGAACTTAATAATTATAAGCATCTCTTAATTATATATTCTATAGTTGTATTCAGTGTTTATCATCTTACAGCTGTAAAAAGTGACTGAGTGAAGATATTTATCAGATAATTATATAAGAATGCTGCTGATCATATATTCACTGATATTATAGAAGATAAAGATAACTAGATTATCTGAGTAGAAGATTAAGAGAGAGATCTTGATAAAGATATTCTTTAAATGTAGAAAGCTACTGTTTTAAGTATCAGTTTAAGTGAATACTGTGTTAACTTTGAGAGCTATTATTAGTGATAAGACAATCTTGCTGTAATAATATATAAAGTATTAATAGAAATTATAGAAGTTCAGAAATTCACAGATATTATAAATGAATTTGAGAGTGAGTCAGAATAGTATAGTGTTAATATAAGCAGAATTTATATATGTCTCATTACACTCTATTATATAGCTGACAAAGTCAATCTCTTCTTGAAGAAAGTTGTATTTACTGATATTACATATAAGATAAGAGTTGTGAAATTTTTGCAGAACTAGATAAATATATTATCAATATATATCTGAGCTGTTATCACAGATGTAAATAATTACATCATTAATGTAGATAATAATGAATTTATCAATGTAGAGTAGAAGAGCTGTTTAAATATACTGTTAAAAATGACTAGATATATTACAGAGGCTGAAGAGAACTACTAGATATTCATAGTTTTCATATTAAGTCTTGAAGACTGTCAAGACCTCATATTCTTCTGTAATACAAATAAGATGAAAGATATGAATAAGATCTAGTTTGATAACTTAGTGTAGATCTGTGAAGCATTTAAGAAGCTCAGAGATTAGAGATATTATATATTAATTTTTCACTGTAATAGTATTAAGATTGTAATAGTCTACACAGAATCACTTAGTATCATTCTTTTTCTCAGTGAAAAGAATAGAAGAGACATGAGCTGATTTACTTAAGTATATGAACTCTTATTCTAAGTTCTCATTAATATACTTTTTCAGAAGCTGTAGCTCTGATTTACTTATATTATAGAGAGAGCTCTTTTTCAGAGATTTATCATTAATAAGAGTGATCTTCATATCAGAGTTGAAATGAAGAGTAAGAGTTATTATTATTATTATTATTATTATTCTTCCATTATACTCATATGCAAGCGGAGCTTATGATGAGTCCTTGCGTGATGTTAAATACAGGCCAAGTGTTGGTTATACAGGAGGAAATACAGGTGTTAAGACCATGCCAAGATAACAAGAACATAGGAAATACAAAGGAGTGACAATTAAATACATGCGATAATAACTTCCCAGCCCAGGAACATAGAGCAATTTTATTGAAGCAATTTGTACACCTCTGTATTTATTAGGAACCTGAGGTGCTTGGGTTCCGGATTTAATGTATCCCCTGCGGGTTTTGAACCCACACGCCTTGGTTTCCCACGCCAAGGCGCTACCGGGTGGCCGCATTAACCATTCGGCCACCGGGGCGAAGAGTAAGAGTATTAACTGTAGATAGATGAAAGATATTCTGAAAGTTATGTAATTCTGATAATAAGATTGTGACAGAGACAGTGTCTTGATAAGCTTGTAGTTAAATAATAATAAGATATATATTATCTGAGTAGAGATTAGATGTGATGTTTTTTTCTCATGATAGATATTAACAGTTAAGTTATTATATACAGAATCTGTTAAACAGGCAGTCTGAGTCTCAGTGTATATCTGAGTTAGTATATTAGAGTCAGAGTATTCTGAGTATAAGAGATCTGAATATGAGTATGAACAGAAAGTAGTGATTGATTATCTGACTATTGAGATTGAGAAGAGTTATTTTATAGATGTATAAAGAGATTGAGTACAGATAGCATTGAAAATCTTCTAGAGAAATATAAGAGATAAGAACTTTTATAATATTAAGAGCTTCAGTGATTTATAAAGTGATGATATTAAATTCAGCTCTGAAATCTATTATAATTGAAAGAGTGAGTATATCAGTGCACTGAAAAAGCTGAATAATATTATTAAGAGTAAGTACTGTCTGTGATATAAGAATGTTATATTATATAATCTGAACAGATAGAGTATAGCTGTTAATTAATTAAGAGAATGAATTGACTTAAGACTTCTATTTACATGTTACTGTTTCTAGTAATATGCTGATTCATTTTTTGACTTTGAGAATATAGAATAAGTATGTAAGAAGACAGTGTGTAAAAGTATTTCATTATTAGAGATAGTAACTAGAAGCAGAGTACTTTAATAGACAGATATAAAAGTTACAGATACTAGATAAGTGTAACAGTTATTAACTCAGTATCTCATATAATTATATCAGATGCAGAAGCTCTCATACTAATATTTTCAATATTCAGTGATAGTGATATTAGAGTTCTTATTAGTGCTGCAAAGAGATCTGTTAAAGAAGCAGAAGTATGCTTAATTAGATATATTATTACATTTATATATATTATGTATTAGATCAAATCTAACATGCTTATTATTATAGTTATTAAGAATGAGTTACTTAGATATAATAATATAACTTTCTACAGTAATTACAGTCTTCTTTCAGTTAGTAAAAGTGATAGATTAGATATTGAAATATATCTGATTAATCTGATATAGAATTGATACAGTCAGTTTAATATGAAATATAAAGTAGATAATAGAATTATTTCAATATAGATCAGCTATCAGTGTTTCAAAGTCAGTGATAAAGTTAATTATATATTAATTGTATTATATATATAGATTATTTATATACAGCTCTGCAATCAGAGCTGTATTCATTTTATAAGAATTATTATAAAGTTATATCTTAAGTACTTCTCAGATTATAATATACATGTTATAATTAATTTATATATATTGAATATATTAACAGATCTTAAGAGTTAGATAACTGATAATAAAAACTATTTTAAATGTGTCAGTGATAATAAGATACTTATATATATTATCATTTATATTAAGAAGTTAGAAGTGTATATCAGTAGAGTTATTAAAGATATCAGACTTATAAAGCTTAATCTTTATCTGAAGAGCAGAGTTCAGAGTTATAGATAGTAAAACAGAGTCTACAGAGTATCTCTTAAAAGTGTTAAAATATTAAATAAGCTGAGTATTAGTTTTTTTAATAACTCAGTTCTAATTAATCAGCTCAGTAACTTAATTAGTGAGATGTTAAATTTACTAAGTCTAATTAAGTATTATTCTGTGAAAATTTTCAGAGTTTTTTTTTTTCAGTATTTGCAGCTGCAGGGCTGTGACTGATATCATGAAGAAGAAGAATCAGTGTATTAGAGCCATGTCATTGGTGAATATCAGGGTGGAACTGCAGCTATACAACAGGTCATAATATTACTGATTCTTGAGTAGGAGAACTAGCTATGAAAGGAGAGCAGGGGGTATAAGGTTGCCACGGCCTGTGTGGGTCATGTGATGCCCACGTGACGGTGCCCTAAGCCCTAGCGGCCTTACACTAGTATAACTGCTGCTATCTACCCTGGTAAAGTTAGTCTTCGTCCTGTAACATTATGCTCATGTTAGTGTGAGTATGTTTTAGATGGGTGAGTCCAAAGTGGCAAATCTGCCAGGATTGTCGCATTCACATCTTATGTATGTATCACTCACTCATTGTCGCCCACATCTTTGAGAATCTTAAGCACCACGTACTTGAATATTCATATGAAGATGTTCAGTTTCGAGCTTAGACACAAAAACTATGTAACTATCAACACAGTATCAGTGGATATTCAACATGAAAGTCGCAGTATTCAGCTTTCAAGAGTATGAAAGGACAGCTCTTGAGCGGTTCAACCAAAGGTTTCAATATGAGTTGGTCTACTTCTCGGCGCCCCTTTCAACCGAGACTGTTTCGCTAGCAGCTGGCAGCGTTGCCGTCTCCACGTTTGTCAGTGACCATGTTGATGCTGAAGTGTTGGAAGTATTGGCAGATGCAGGAATCAAACTGGTCGCTCTGCGCTGTGCTGGCCACGATAGTGTGAATTTACAGGCGGCATCAGAAAACCACATTACTGTCATGCGAGTCCCAGCCTACTCACCCTACGCGATTGCGGAATACACCATTGGCATACTCTTGACTCTCAATCGCAATATCCACAAGGCTTCAACCCGTGTGCGAACTGGCAATTTTGATCTGAACGGCCTTGTTGGGAGTAATATATACGGGAAAACAGTGGGCATAATCGGCACGGGGCGTATCGGGGCCGCGGTAGCCACAACATTGAAACTTGGATTCGGTTGCCGTGTCATTGCAAATGATCTCGATGCACATCTTGAACTGGAAAAGATCGGAGTGGACTATGTGGACCAGGACACGCTTTTTCGTTCATCCGACTTCATTTGCCTCCATTGCCCCCTGACCAAGCAAACGAGGCATATCATAAACCCAGAGAGTCTGCAACTGATGAAACCGGAGGTCATCTTAGTCAATACAAGCAGAGGAGGCTTAATAGATACGCCAGCGCTCCTCGATTCACTCGAAAATGGCCGAATTCGCGGCTGCGCACTGGACGTGTACGAGAGGGAAAATAACCTGCTCTTCCAGAAATCCTCAATGGAAGAGATCGATGATCCGACCCTCAAGCGACTGGTTAGCCTACCAAATGTGATTCTTACCGGGCACCAAGCCTTCTTAACGCAGGAAGCCATCGACGCTATAGCAGAGACTACGTTGAAGAATATACAAAATTTCTTAGCCGGGAAAGTCGATGTTAACAGAGCCGTTGAAAAATATAAGTGAGGATTACAGAAACAAAAGCCGCGTATCGAGAATTAAGCCATCCCATCCATTATGAAAGGGGTTATTAAACTTACTTGGTTTCCCCTTGGTTCTCGAAGAATAGCAGAGCACCCCGACTGGGAGACGGACCGTTCCTTGCATCACGGGACTCAGCTGCTCAGCCACATACCAGACTAGCAAATTAATAGAATCACTGAGAAACGCCGGTTTTCTCTCATTGTGCGACTTTCTGGCTGAGCGTCTCTCGCCTGAAGGTGGAATTTTAGGGTTTAGTTACAGTCTATATGCAGTGCTTCTAATCGTCTAGGCATGGCGCATTCTACCCTAATACCGGCCTAATTCCGCTCTTGTGGTTCTGGTCTGTAGTGCCTACGTTTGGTCTTCGAGCGTCCGTCAGTCAGCTGGATGGCAAGCGGAGACAGACGGAGAGCCGAGGCGGGATGGCCAGAGCTCGATGGAACGCGCGGCAACATCGACGAGCCCCTATTGAGCGTGAATGGCGGGACCGTTCATGATACCACCACATGTACATACCACCACACCCACACTGGGTGCACGGACATTTACAACCGCATGAAGCATCAGGTTTGGCGAGAGCGGTGGTATATGAACGGCCAGATAATAGGCAAAACAGATGCTTGTGGAGTTGGAAAATGCCAAGCGAGTCAGGTCTGCGCACCCGGTCGAAAAAGTTGTGTACATATACATGTTTATTTGTGGAATCGTGCTGTTCCATCGAAGAGTTGATAAAACCGGATGGATGGTTGAATTAGCTAACTCTTCTTTTTCACATCTTTCATTTCTTTCTTTCACAACTGCGTTGGAGCTCGCGGGGAGACAGCGGTGAGGTTTACTTGAGGGATGAGTCGATAGATTCAACCCCTGGATTCTCGAGCTGGACCTGGGCCGAATGGAAGTGCTCCTCAGTTTGATTTGCCATCCGCAATCGGGCACAGGGTCAAGTTGATTATGGCTGCGGGGGCATAACGACGATTTAGTTTTCCCATATATATAATGTCCCATTCCTATCTAGAGTATATGGCGAGTTAGAGACGCTTGTCTTTCTTAGAATGTGCCTTTGGTTTAAACCCGGAGAAGGCGAAGAACAAAGCGGCAAAGACTTAGTTGCAGATGATAGAAAAGATACAATTACCTAGTTATGAAACTATCAGATACATTATGAGAGAAGATAGCTGGAGGAAATGATATGTAACATTTGTCTATTTATTTGTGTTCCTGCACCCGAGATAAACAAGTATTTACATACCTAGCCTACCTAGGTAAATAAGAAAAGAATCATCTCAGAAACACGACAGGATACTGTCTTCCATCGTATCCTCTATTTTGTAGTAATAGCTAATGTTTCATGGTTTGTTGTTTGCTGTGCTTTGCTCGCTTCTCCTCGCCCCCCTCCACGCCGCTGCCTGTCCATCGTCGTCTCCCTAACCGATTATTTACTTAACCATCATCCTTCACTCAATCTCCCCCCTTTTCCACGCCACACATCTGGAACTACCTCTCTTCTGCCTGTAGATGGGATAGGTAGAGATATTTAAATCAACACACACACACACACACACACTCACTCACACACACAGAGAGAGAGAGAGACAGGGGGAGAGAGAGAGAGAGAGAGCGATGCCTGCCCCTCTTCTTCTGTTGACTTGGGCTCTGTAGCTGTCAGTATCGCGCCGTCGGATCATCTTGCGCATCGCCCTGACACCATGCTCAGCGCTTCAGTTGGCCAATCCGTATCTGTGACTGTGACTGTGCCTGCGCCTGAGCCTAGCTGCCGACATCCACAGTCAACTCCTCCTCAGAATCGGAATCAGAATCAGCATCGTCATCCTCGTCCGCATCCACATCCACATCCCGCAAATCCCAGCAATACTGGAGGTTCCACCACTCTCAGCTCCACCACCTCCATTGCGTCAACCTCGCAGTCACCCACGCCCTCGTCCTCGTCCTTTTCTCCTCCTTCGTCGACCGTTGCTCCTCCTGCTCCTCCCACTAACCCTATTCCTCATCCTATCTCCTTCTCGTCATCCTCCCGGTCTTCCCACTCTGCCGACGCCACCGTGAATCCTGCGCCCGTACACTCTTTGCAGAATGCCCCTTCACCTCCTCAGCCACCAGGGCCTCCTATCTCAGCTGCGTCGATGACATCGCTTCCCAATCCTCACCGCTTCCCCGATCGCCATCGGTCTGCCTACCGTCAGCATTCTCCGCAGCATAACCAAGGCTTTGATCACGCCGGCATTCCCTTATCCAATACACGCTCTGGCTTTGACAGCGATAATCCCTCCTCCCACTCGTCCCCTCGATTACAGCCCACTTACCGTTCATCTCTCTCCCTGGGGGGCTCTGAAGCAACCTCCCCGAGTCGCATCCAGGTCCATGATCTTTCCCATATTCGCAGCTTTGCCAATGAAGAAGTCCTCGCCTCCTCCAGACGCCTTCAGACCCAGGGCAGCAACGGTCGTTCTCAACAAGATGTCGGCCGCCAGTACGAGATTAGCTCCATGCCAATCACAGATATCATTGAGATGGTCGCCGGCCTGTTGACCAAGATAACCACCACCAATGACCAGCAGCACGAGCATATACATCGCAACATCCCGCCAACCGATGGCGCAGGTGGCATCAGTGCTCAAACCACCAGTGTGCTCGCTTTCCATGGGAAAAATGTCCCAAGCATTACTATCCTGAGCTACCTAAGTCGCATACACAAGTACTGTCCAACCACTTACGAAGTCTTCCTTAGCTTACTCGTTTACTTCGACCGCATGACTGAGATGGTAAATAAAGCCTTTATCCAGAGCCTGCAGCAAAGGTCGGATCAGCATAGCAGCAGCCTGGCCCCACATTCTTCGCCCTCCACGTCCATCCCGTCTGGGGCTACTCCCAATCGCCCCTCTACCCGTGGCTCTATCGCAACACCCCCTTCTTCCGTCCAAATGCGGGCGCGAGACAACGACCCGTCATCCCCGTCACCGCCTTCCACTATATATCAGGAGTTTATCCCACCCTCGTCGAGCACTACCCCTGCCGCATACGAAGATGCATACAGTCTCTCTCATTACTTTGTTGTCGATAGTTTCAACATCCACCGTCTAGTCATTGCCGGTGTGACCTGCGCAAGCAAATTTTTTTCTGATGTTTTCTACACCAATTCTAGATATGCCAAGGTAGATATATAGGCTCTCCCCCTTTTGTTTTCTCAATGTAGCTAAAGTGTACTAATTTACCTAGGTTGGCGGCCTTCCTCTCCTCGAGCTCAACCATCTCGAACTTCAATTCCTCCTTTTAAATGATTTTCGTCTTGCCATTCCTGTTGAAGAGCTGGAAGCTTATGGTACCATGCTTGTTGAATTCTACGCAAGAGAAGTGGTTGCGCAGCAACAGCAGCAACTACCCCAGCAGCCGCAGAATCCCGGCGATGGCCAAGACCACCCCTTCAGCACTACAGGCCACCGAGCAAAGGACGGTGCTTATATGGAACAGCGCCCTAGCCAAAGGGAGGGTATCATTCAAGCAAACGTTTCACAAACTCCGACCCCTCCATAGGGTCTTTATTGCCATTGAATTTTCTCTTCTTTTTTGTTTTTTCTGATGAGATTACAGCGCGGTGGAAGCAGTAGCAAAGGAAGTCGAAATACCTGACGGGGACACGGAAATATAGATATCTTTTATTCTTTCCTCTTTTCTTTCGAGTGCCAGGTGTTTGATTCAATTCCGGCCCAAGATACCATGAGAGTAGTTCATTGTTACTTAATTTTTCCGCCCTTTTCGTCTTGTTATTTCCTGAACCTGATTTTGCATGTTGCGGCTGTGCTACTTTTCCCATTTATCACTGCAATACTTTATACTTATTTTGTTTGATGACGTTGTGGTTTGTTCGTCTGATGTCAATGTCGCTTGAGATTTTGTCCCGAAGTTGGATCGTATTCCTCTAATTTGCGTTTATTTTTAATTTTTACGAACGACTTCATTATTGGTGTTCATGTACGATATTCTCTTTCTAACCTTCATTCTGCCATTTCTGTCCCTCTACTTGCGCCTCTCTTACACCATGATGGATATGATTAATGGGAGGGCAATGAAGCGGGACGCAAAGCTACATTTTCTTGTTCAACATCGCCCGTCTCGGCTGAAGCAGGAGGTTCGCCCCCGACCCCTGTCCCACACCCCAAATGGGCCGCCGCCGCAGCACACCCATGTGACCCATTCCATTCACACTTATGCACGTGGGCATGCACACATACATCTCGCTCGATGTTGGCTCAATTTTCCACTCCCAAAACCTCAATATTATTTAATGACTACCGCAGAAATAACTCACTTGCAACTGAATATTTTACCTGCCTCTTATCATACCGTGCCATACCTTACATATATATTTTGCATTTGCCTTGCTCTTTAACCCTGCACAACTTCAATTTTGCCCTGATAGCTATACAAACATACATGTATTTGTAGACTGGCCAGCGGGACTATGAATTTCACATTTGATCTCATTTGATCTGGTCTCATACATTTCTCGGTGTGAATCCCACTGAGACTAGTCATCAAAAAAACATGCAAAGTGACTATTAATCAGATCTCAAAATGAGATTATAACTTAGAAAAATTAAGAAAGTGATCTCATTTAATCTCATTTAGTCTCATTCTTAGGCCCCGGTGGCCGAATGGTTAATGCGGCCACCCGGTAGCGCCTTGGCGTGGGAAACCAGGGCGTGTGGGTTCGAAACCTGCAGGGGATACATTAAATCCAGAACCCAAGCACCTCAGGTTCCTAATAAATACAGAGGTGTACAAATCACTCCAATAAAATTGCTCTATGTTCCTGGGCTGGGAAGTTATTATCGCATGTATTTAATTGTCACTTCTTTGTATTTCCTATGTTCTTGTTATCTTGGTGTGGTCTCAACACCTGTATTTCCTTCTGTATAATCAACACTTAGCCTGTATTTAACATCATGCAAGGACTCATCATAAGCTCCGCTTGCATATGAGTATAATGGAAGAATAATAATAATAATAATAAGTCTCATTCTTAGCATAAAGTTACTATTTTTAGAGATTTTAAAGTGTTTTCAGACTATTTTTAATTTTTAAAAAACTAGTAATATTTAGTAATACTTTAATAAGATTTGAAGTCATTTAAAGTAATAAAATGAATTTAAATTAAGAAGAAAAAATTATAATCTTATTTTAAAAATGTAAGAAGAGTAGATATGTAAGAATAAGTACTTACAGATAATTATTCAGATATTTACAGCTTGATATAATATATACTATTAACTACTAGAAGTATTCACATTAGAAAGATAAAATGTAAAAATTAAATATATAATAGTATTTAAGCTGAGTTATAAGTAGTATTTATAAACTTCAGTCTATATAGTTATGTGTAGTTAAGAACTGTTAACTCTATTAATTATATAAGAGATAGAAATAGAGATAAAGAATTTATAAAAGAGAATATTTCTTAAATATCTCTCTCTTTCTAAGACTTTATCTGTAAAGTCTTTCACTGAGTAACTTTATAAAATCAGCTCAGCACTGCAGTAATACTTACTAAAAATTCTTTATATCTATAAAAAAAATCTCAGTGAGAAAAAATCTCTTATTATTATAAAGAGAAAAGAGTCTGTTACTCAGTTTCTTATTTTATAAGATTCTTTATAGTCTATAGATTCTTCTCTAATTACAGATTTATTTTATATCTTTTATACAGAAGAGTTCTAATTGACTCTTAACTATTTCTGTAAGATTCTTGAATAATTATTATACAGATTTATTTTACAGATGAATCACTCTCTATAAGATTATTCTTATCAAAGAGAAGTATTTATAAGTTAATCTTTTACTTATTTTTATAAATTATCATTCTTTAATACTGTAGAATTATGAGGAATTTTTAATTCTTTTATTAACTTTGTAGAACTATAGAATTAATATATTTATAGTCTGTAATCACTCTTTATAATTATATAGAAAGATTTAAATCTGTAGTTTATAATCACTTTTTACTTACTAGAGTGATCTGACTGTTTCACAGAATTACTCACAGTGTAAATAAATCTCTCTAAAGTAGTATAAATATCTCAGATTTATTTATGAAATCTTATCTTCTTTTCTCTTTTTTTATAACAGCTCTCATTCTTATAAACTATGAGTATTCTCATTTATTCATGAAGTGTTTTCACTCAGATAATAGAAAAAGAGTATTTCTGATAATATTTATATATTAATTCAAGAACTTCTCAAGAATAAAAATTTTTATAATTTTAATATCTTTATAAATAATATTTAATTACTATTAAGCTGTTTATAAGTGTCTCTACAACTTCTCTCATCACTTTTTACTAGCTGATGAAGTAGAAATATTACTATTTATAACAGTGTCTTTATCTCTTTCAGCTCTGTCACTGCACTTAATCTTCAGATCAGCAGTTAACTCTGTATCTTCTTTAAATTAATCTCTAACTTTAAGCAGTGTAGTTCTACTCTTTACTGTAAGTCTTTCTATAAGTAATATCTTACAGACTCTAACTAATAGTTTCTGTAAAGCTCTTAGTACTGTTAGTACTCTCTGCAGTCTTATAGATCTATAATCACTTCTTCTCTGTCTATACAATCTCTGATTAGAGATATGTAAATATGTCTAGATTTTCTATTAATAATTCTCATATCATGATATATTTCTGTAATCTTATTATTAATGAGAGATAAGTCTCTAATTATCTGTAAAATCTCAGTAATTAAGATAATATAAATACTATGAATTTGTAATAGAAGTTAATCTAAGTAGATAAGCTCTCTCTCTATATCTTAATTATTTCTGAGCTAAATACTTCAGCATAACTGAGAAAATAGATACAGCTTTAGAGAAGATATCTAATTATATATATAGATAATCAGCTCTCAAGACTCTGCTATAACTAGACTGGCTGCTGAGACTATGAATTTCACATTTGATTTCATTTGATCTGGTCTCATACATTTCTTGGCGTGAATCCCACTGGGACTGACTATCAAAAAAACATGTAAAGTGACTATATATCAGATCTTAAAATGAAATCATGACTTGAAAAAAATAAGAAAGTGATCTCATTTGATCTCATTTAGTCTCATTCTTGACATAAAGTTACCATTTTTAGACATTTTAAGGTTTTTGTTCGACTATTTTTAATTTTTTAAAAAGTAACACTTTTTGATAACACTCAAATGAGATTTAAAGTCATTTAAAGCAATAAAAATAATTTAAATTGACAAGTGAAAATCATGGTCTCATTTGAAAAATGTGATAAGAGTAGACAGTAAGTCTCACTGAGACAGTATGAGACTACTATCTAATATTAAAACTGTGTAATGAGATCAGTCAAATTGATAATGAAACTATAAAAAAATCTGGTTCTGATCTCAGACACGGTCACACAGTCAGTCTAGCAATGCCTGTATCTAATCTATTCAAATTCTCATTTTTTAAGTCATCTGAGTAAATCAGAATAGAGGCTTTTATATTGATTGTAGAGATCTTCTTCAAATGCTGTTCATATTCTCTCTCTTTAGATAGTTCACTTATTTGTAAGTCTATGAGAGATTTCAGCTTTTCTCTTCAGAGAGATATCTTCTCATGATCAATTTTCTCAACATTTAATGAAGAAAATTGATTCTTAATAAGTGAACATAGTCTATACAGTTGAGAGAGCATTTTCTTTAAAGTATTATTCTCATTTCAATCAAGAAATCTATTTCAATTCAGTTCATTTTCTGAGTTAACTGATAAAAATGAAGAAGAGACTCTTTCTCTGATTATATAATTTAAGCTCATCTTCATGACTCTCAGAGCATAGTTCATACAGGTCTTTTTAAATCAAATAGTGGAAGATGAAATTGAAGCTTTAATTTTCATTGCTTTAATAGAAGATGATTTGAATGCTTTCAGAATTCTTTTCAAAGCTCTGTTTTATAGACATTGAAACAGTTCAGTGAAGTTATCTTGATTGTTTCATCAAACTTGAACTTCATAATCAGCTACTGAGATAATACAGGCTATGTATAACTGTCTCATAGCCTGAAAAGATAGACCTCTCTCAGTATTTGATAGTCTGATTATACTATTCAGTAGTCTTTCTGTCTTGATGATTCTTTATTGAATATGATATTTAAAATTCAACTTAGAGTTTAATCATACTTCTAGTCATTTGACATTTAAACTGAGTTTAATCTCTTTATTTAAAAGAGTTAGACTTAGTTCTTTCTCATTAAACCTGGAAAAAAAGTGAATTAACTCAGTTTTATTTATATTAAATTAAATTAGATTGATATCTGCTCTAACAAAGATTTTCTTTACTGCTTTCTCAATCACTTCTAAATTCTCTTTGATTGTCTTTGAACTGTAGAGTAGATTAATATCATCTACATAACTTGAAGATCTCACTATTTTCATCTCTCTATTCTTAAATAGATATGCAGTGTATATTGCAAATAAAACAGGTGAGATTAAAGATTCTTGTAATACTTCTATTTTTATCTCAGTTTTATCTTGTTTTCTTGCCCCGGTGGCTGAATGATTAATGCGGCCACCTAATAGTGCCTTGGTGTGGGAAATCAAGGCGCGTGGGTTCGAAACCCGCAGGGGATACATTAAATCTGAAACTCAAGCACCTCAGGTTTTTAATAAATACAGAGGTGTACAAATCGCTCTAATGAATTGCTCTATGTTTCTGGGCTGGGAAGTTATTATCGCATGTATCTAATTGTCACTTCTTTGTATTGTCCTCCTGTATAATCAACACTTGACCTGTATTTAACATCACGCAAGGACTCATCATAAGCTCCGCTTGCATATGAGTATAATGGAAGAATAATAATAATAATAATAATCTTGTTTTCTTTCATCAAAGAATAGTTGTATAATTCTTTTAGATATAAATCAATTAACTCATTTTATTAGAGAAAGTGACAGTTTTAACATCTTCAAAGTTTGAATCATCTTAGACTTTGAAACATGATTAAACATATCTTTTATATCAATAAAAACTGCAGTTGAGACCAGGCCTTTATACTTTGCTACTTGAATATCATGAATAACTGAGAGAACAGTGTCAATTGCAGAACATTGTTTTCTATCTCTCATTTATTCATTAAATAGAAGAGAATCACTAATAGAGCTTATAAAAGATAATCTAGTAGCTATTATCTTTTCTAGAACTTTTTTCAAACAGTTCAACAGAGATATTACTCTATTTAACTTAGAAATTGAAGCTTTTCTATTAGATTTTACAAGGATTACTTCAGTAGCTTCTCTCCAGCATTCAGAATAATAATCATTTTTTAAGAGATTGAAAAAGAGCTCAAAATATTCATTCTTCAAGTAGAAATATGTGTTTTGAATAATTAAATGATTAATTGAATCAGACTCTGCAGCAGTTTTAATTGAACTTGAGAATATTACTGACTCTAGTTCATCACATGTAAGCTCAGATCATTCTCAGTTATTTTTATTAATATATTCATGAAATGACATATTCTTCTCTTCTAAATGTGATGAGTTTTGAAAGAGAATTCTTATAAAAGCTTGATATTTTTCCTCAAAAGAGTTTGCTGTATACAATTTATACTGAAATTCA